TAGCATTTTCTTGGAATTTACTGCTAAAGTTACTGTACTGATTTACTGTACTTTTATTATACTTTACTTTATTGTACTGTGCTTTACTGTACTTTCTTACTGTACTTTAGAATTTACTGTAGTAACAGTAAGATATAGCGTGGTTTCTTGTTTGTACAGCTGGCAACTTCTCCATTTGCTCTGACCAGTGATAAATCTGCTAGCGATCCTGATTCTCTTTTCATTACCATCCTGAAAGGATTACCAACTTTTCTGATACACATTCACTTACCGGGGTTTTAGCCGCTCTGATATATTCTTGTTCAAATTGAGCATCAGCACTTCTTCCCGAATTTCGTCTCTGTGAGGTTTTTTATGGATGAAAAGACCGCCAACTTGAGGATTTCTTGTTTCATTATTGCTCTTTTAATGAAATTTAGCTTTTCCCAGCTTATTTCATTGGCGGTTAAATTTTGCTACACTTTAATAAAATCTGCGCTCCTTTTATTAACTTTTGTGCCGCCTTTGTGGAATTTTGTACTTTCAAAAGTAATTTTTCTGCACAGACGAAAAATTTGCGAATTGTTTTAGGAATGGCGAAAATGTGGATTTGGAGAAAGAATATGTCAGCATGCTATTAAATATGTGGAATCGCGATATAGCACAAAAGTACTTGTAACGCAAGCGCAACTACCCGTTTTAAAATTTTATGAAAATCTTGGATTTCTGATGGTATCGGACGAATACATCGAAGATAATATTGCTCACAAGGTAATCTTTATGTGTATTTTGTTAATGCGGCTACTAGTAGCCGACCTTAGATGGGCAGTGTTGACTTGGAAGAAGTTGACAGTTGCTTCTGTCTCAGTTAGTAGGAAGTATATCATATTTCGCATTATCAGATTGAGTTTTGCATGATAAAAAACTATAGGTCGCTGCAAATTTCGTTGATCTGTAGGTTGCTAATGTCGTAAAAGTTGTTGAATCCGAATGGTCTTGTTCATTTCTTCATTATCACAATGTGTTGTACGTGATGATCTGCGATTGTGTTATACATTATTCTTGAAAAAAGCAGAAGTTTGAATGCTAAACTGCGGTGTAGCAGTGAAAAGAAGGATGTTTGAAGTGTCTCTGTGTGATTGTACGAACTGCTGTGTTCTCTGTTAGCCTAGAAGTACCCTCTTTGCGATATTTTTTGTTTTCGATAGTAAATTGGTACTGGCATGTGTCCAAGAGGCAGGCGTGCCAGTAGCTTGATTGTAAACAACTAAAGGAGTTTTTGACAATCTTGCCAACGTGTGGTTGTTGTTGACCAGCGTGTGGTTGTTGTTGGCAGTGTGTGGTTATTGTTGACCAACGTGCGGTTGTTGTTCACTAACGTGCGGTTGTTGTTGGCAACATGTGGTTATTGTTGGATATTTTCGTATACCCCCACCTCTCACAGTTTTGATTTCCATGCTTCTGATCTGTAATATTAGAGCTACTTATCATAGGGTTCTTTTTAAACTTGGCTACTCAAAAATTTTGCAGTATTTTGTATTTTCTTTTAAAAACGATGCTCACTGTTTCAGACCATGTTTTATCCTCCTCGCCATGATCGGATTTCAACGCTGGATATATGGAAAAATAACCTCCCCGAGCATGAATATATACCCGGTGAATGTTTCGACCCCTCAGTTATTAAAAGAATACAGGAAGTGATCATTTCCCTGGAAGTATGGTTCATTGATTTTACTA